AAAGAATTCCGAAACACTATAATAGCTTTTATTTATAAGAAATTGTTTCAATTGATTTTTTCTTTTTTGGGCTCTTTAATGTAATTTGATAGTTTTTTTTTTTATATATTAATAGATACTGTAATATTATACACAGATGTTGTTAACGCCAGAGTTATAAATGCATAATTTATCATTTTATAAACTATACAAGCAAAACAATGACACGAGTTACATGTTTATTTTCTACATTTCGTAAAAATTTAGTGAAAGAACTTGTCTCCACTATTCAAGTATTGCAGAATTAATTAATGGATCGATATTTACATTATTAAACTATCTCAATAATATGAATATCGATCTACTAATTCATTCTGTAATACTTTATTGGGCTGTTAATTTTTGTTAAATTGTTATATTTGCTTTTTTTATACGATTAGATCGCCAGATCAAAATGTCAGAAGCCACAAATACCGTATAATAAACCTGACTATAAAAGAATAATAAACCTTGAGAAAGTCCAATAGAAGTACAAATGTGTAAAAGGCAGTGCCTCTTGGCGCCCGGACCAGGGTTCCGGCGTTAAGATAGGGGTATCTACGAATATTCCTTTCCCATCTATCTAGATGAGTAATTCTCGAGAAAAAATTCTCGGCGACATATTCGTGACACTTTTTTCTAAACGCTCATATGGATTTTGTATACATGCTATATTTAGATTGGTATTTTCCGTAAATAAAAATAATACCAAGAACCTGACTTTCATTTTCTTCAAGAAAAAATATTGTCATCTTTAAGATAAGATTAAGACTCTTATTTTAAAATTATATACGCTATGAAATTAACCAACAGTTTCAAATAAAAACCTAATGTAAAACTAATATATAAACGTTCCATCAATTACATGTCTCACTCAAACGAGACAATAGTCATACCCTCAGTATTTTTTTTCCAAATCACGACATTCTGCCGGGGGTTTGGATGCGATTCATTGCATTGTAGATAACATCAGCTGGTAAAAAACGCAGAATCACGACCTGTTTGAATGTAAGTGATTTAAAAATGAACAATGCCAAATTGATTTTCATTTCGGAAAACTGTGATTGCCTTCAACAAATCGAATAATACCACCCACAGATCCGTCACGGGTCGTAGTGGGCACCGTTTTCCGTGTCCATGTTTCTTTTTGTGATGACTGATGATTATTTGTGATGGCCAGTGTTCCAGGAGAGGGCATTCATGATAATTATGAAATAAAAACGCAGTGCGCAAATTCAAGGAACTCCCAATGAAGTGTTACAATAAAAGAAGCTTAAGAATCCTCGCTATGTTTAAAAAAAATAAGCAATGCTATTTTAATTATAATCTTATTCTCAAGCAGTTATTGAATAAGTTTATTAGGAAATCAAATTATAGCTAGTTAAACCTTGCCTGAATTAAAAAAAAATACATAAAATACTGTTTTTCTACTTTACGAAAGACGTTTTAGATTAAAAAAGAAAATACTTACAGGACACCACGAAGGAATTATTTAGTTAGAAAGTTACAAGTTACCATTATTTAGTTTAGCATCATGAATCCAAAGAATCATTCTCTCTTGATTGTTAAAATTGATAACGATCCCGATCGTTACATGCGCAAAAGTATTACAAGTTTATAGCAACTCAGCGCTTTTATAATTAATTCAAAGCATTATTGTGCAATCTGTTGTCGATATTAAAACGCATTTAAATCTGACTAACGAAACGAGTGGAGATGTCATCTTTATATAAAATTATTTTTAGAATAACTTTCGATGGATATCCAGAATAATATAGACGTGATCTCGCATTTCAACTTTACATTATAAGTAGGTGTCCATACCGTAAGTTTCATAAACACACTTTTTCGTATGATTTTCACCAACAGATAGAGTATGAGAAAGGTTTAATGTATGTTTAATCAAGGTTTTGTATTCATTAGCTCTATTTTTATCTGTAAAATTTCTAAGTTTACTCGGTAGGATAGGGGTGGCTTTATAATTCATACTCATTCAAACTTACTTTTTAATCTAACCTATAGCTAATTGACTATGGAATCTGCAACAGGTCATAAAAATATCGTAAAGTAAAATAAGTTTTATTAAAATAAATTAATTGTTAGTCGGAAATGACATTCTCTATACATCCCCTGTTCAGGGTTGTGCATTAGCTATTCATTTTGATATGTCATCGCTGCACCGTAATGCCCTTTGTGTCAGCCCTGGCCGACGCCCCTTACCGATTGTAATCCCTTTTTTATACTGCATTATTCAAATTATCAACACTTTTGTATCAGACTATACACTCGGGACAAGCTGTCTGTAAACACAAAATACGCGTTTCATTGATGAACTTTAACTGTTCATAAACAAAGTTTAAAATGTATTAACGTCCACTACTGTTGCATAGTATTGAAAGATTAATAAGATGCAATCTATTACTAAGTGCAAGGAGAATGTCTTTTTTGATAGAAAAGCGCAGTAACTATATTAAAAATGGACAGATGTATTTAGTTTGTTAATATGATGAAATGGGAATGCATTTTTATAATTATGATTAAGGTGGCGCCTAAAGACAATGAGAAATAACATAACATATTCAACAGGCAAGTCAACGATTTCCCTCTAATAATATAATTCGTAAATTTCAAAGTATAATTACCAGAAGATATGAAGTAAATGATAAATTTTAGGGATAACTTTGTTATTTTTTTTTCTATGCATACTAATGATGAAATTACTTTTCATCAGAGGTAGCAATGCTTATAACGTATAATGAATATCGATCCGTTTTTCCAAAAGCGCCACAATTCATAATCATTAATTTTTCTAATATTAGGTCCTTAAAAATTTGGAATCTCAAGCGACTGAATAAACGCATAAATAAAACTGAATTTGATATGCATTATAATTAGTTATCAACACTGAGATAAAAACTCTTGATTACAATGTGTTCCTCGAATTTATAATGTTTAGTGTTCAATCACAACCTCATTGGCAATCCAAACAGTTCCAGTAGGCGTAGCAATCTTACATAATACATAGATAATTCGAAATTACTCAAAACCTAAATCCATGACTTGTGTATAATCTATCTAGAAATGAGGACGCGTCCAACAGTGACAGTAAATATTATGATTTCATTCGAGATCTTGCATCGCTGACGTCAATGTGACGTCTGTTTCATTACGCGCCGTCCCATCTGTACCCACCTAATCTTCAGTTTTTATATCCACTGATAGATCTTAATCTGAAAAACTAAAAGACGAAATTCATCTAACTCAACCGCGGAACGCCACTATTTTGATACGGGCGCCGGCTTTATAAATTATGTCATGGAATGTCCGGCCGTCGTTTCGTATCTTTGTCCTTAATATATTCATCGGGCTTATTGTTTTTGATGTGCTCCTAATCCGAGCTTTCATCTTAATCATCACCGTTTCTGATAATAGCTTAATGAGGACCCGAGGGATTTGATTTATCGCACGTTCGCGTGTCATCTTCTTTAGCAACAACAGAGGGAGCCAATGCTTTGACAGTTGACGCATGAGTTCCTGAGAGTTTATTTATAATAGGCGACCGTTATTGATCGGATATCAGCGGGTGCGACGAATCACATCCAACTGTTTCAATTGGCAAACCTTCCATTATCAGAAACACCAATAATTGTTACTCACTCCCGTCTCTTGACCACCTGCGAGTTTATAACAATATTTCATGACGCCAGCTGGTGATGTCCATCAGAAATCACATTTTTATATATTCACGAACATTAATTATGCTATCAAAATGCGGTCGAAATGCCAAAACGACGGTACGCCTGTAAAATATAAGCACCGATTGCTAGGACATCTCCGCAGAGCTATTAAATAAAAGTCTTTTTACATTAGATAAATCGCGCACGTTATTCGGGAACATCTGTCCCTTGCCGATTACGCCCATACATTATGCTCAGTTTGTTGTTTTTAATAAAAAGTTTAATCCGTTCGGTTATGACGGCAATTTGTCAGGCCGATGGAAAAACTTGGTCGATTACCAGTGGCGCTCGTATCGCTGCCGGGATGCCTATTACAGCCTTTTTATTTCTTTCCACGCTTCGATTATGTCATGTTTATTTATGCGTTCGCTTTTGTGTTCCATTAGCGAATCTCCTTTTTCATCTCCGCCGCCATGATTCATTTGAACATTGTCGGATGTGAAAAGAAATTTTTAGCGATACTTCACTTTCGCATCAGCGCGGAAACTCGCATCGTCGAGCTGTACTAATTTCGTCACCTTATAATGTCTTACTCCGTACAACCATTAACAATTCAATATCTGTCTTAATGAGGAGCCGATAAAATGTATATTGTGGTATTCGTCAAGGCTCGTCGCAATTAATCGGAGGTATATATCTTTTTTTGGATTTTGCTTTATTACTGTTAAGATTTAGTATGTGTCGATGAGGTTGATTTGTTGGCGTGCAGCATTTCCTTTGTCGCAGTTCGGGCGTAAATGTGCAATATATTATCGGGTACAAAGTTTTCGACGAGCGATGCCTCGTTAAGAATGATGGTCGACAGTCCAGCAATTTGGGGGTCGACTAACCGGCTTTTGTTTCAACTTTTCTTGACATGTAATTATTGTGTATCAATTGGTACTTCATTATCCCGACTGTACTCCTTGCATTAACTCATTTTCTTATAAAACTTAAGTACAGTTATGTTAACAATATTTGCCGGTGGGTAATTTTTTGTTATTTCTCCAACAATGTATTATACAATTTTCGATGTCAGGTGTGAATTGAAGTTTTTTTTTTAATCGTGTAATTACTTGGCCAATTTAAATTAAACAATTACATTCTAAAATTAAATAAATTGTACCTTATGTCCTAAATTAATATTTATAATAATATCTCAACTTCACGTCATGATATCTGGGGTAGATTATTATCTTGAACCGATGCTTGGAAAACAAAAATATTCAACACATTAAAAGTAAAAAATTGCTTTTCTTGTTCCAGAATATGGGCAATGTGACCGCTGAATTAGAGCTCCAGAGACTCCAACAGGAACAGCTTCGGCGGCAAGAAATGGTGCGACGTGGTCAGCACGGCTTATACCCTGGACCGCCGTTGGCTCTCCTGCCGCTGCTGGAACAGATGCGCCCACAGCAACCTCCGCCACCCAATGTAAGTCCAATTGATAAAATTAATTCCCCTTAAAAAAATGTCAATATATATAATCATAATTTCGAATGATTCTTACTTGTGAATAATGAAAGTTTGACTTTATTTATTTTCAATAAATCGCAGATAACTAAGTTGCGCGATCACATACATGCTAGATCCAACGCAAACAATGTGGTTTAAAATTCAATAAAATCAGTTACCCTCCATCTACATAAATATCATATTCCGTGGAAGACATGTAAAATTTGATCGCCCACAAATTGAAACTATTAACAGAAAACATACAAATTAGACAGTTAATCTTAGCTAATTATAACGATTCAAAGTTCTAATAACACGATGCCGAAGAGTTAAGTGAAAATATAAATTGTGTTCTCGTGTAATCACCAGATGAATATAAAACGCATCTCGTATCTTTGCTCAACATATAATTGTGGGATTTTTTTTCTATAATGTGTAGCATTAATTTTGTGTGTAATAGCAATCGACAGAGGTCGATATTTTATTATTAAGCAATATTACTAACCATAATGGCTCCAGATAAATTGTTACACTAGTAATTAATTACGTAATGGAAGATGCACAGAGGTGTTCGGTGGGAAAGGTGATTGCGCACGCACAAGATCCAGTTTGCCAGTTGTTAAACATTTGTTTTATAGTTTCGAAGTTTTTCTGTTACGTCAAGTCCGCGGTTGTGTTGTGAAATTGTGACTTCAAATCGTTTCGGATTGTGTTCACATACTTTTAATGGAATTACTACACTCCCCTTTGTTGTCATTCCATGCATCCGTTATTGTTCACTTACATTTTGGTTGTTTGAGGTCCGTATGCTATGTCATCATCGTTGGTAGATTAATCAGTGAAAATGATCCACTGGCGTGTGGATCAAAATCCATTGGGTGTATTACCAATGAATTTTGACGCGGATTTCACTGTTGGATAGGTTTTTGAGAATGACCGTGCGAAGCGGGGCTGAGGCGTTGGTCTATCTATCTCTCTTTAATTTTACCATAAATATTTGATGTAATTTATTTATCTACCAGACCATAAAGCTGTTGACCAGCTGCATTTAAAGCCTTAAGATCTACCAAGCCTGGGTATGGATGGTGTTTGTGTATCTATACACGGGAAATGGCTGCGACATTAATATTATAACGGAATTTGAATAATATGTTTGGAAAAAATCAATCGTATGCAAGTCTACACCATTAAAGTAGATGTTTTTTAATTGTTATACATTTTTGTGTACAAAGTAATTACAATTTTTTTTATAAACATACAGCTCTTAACTGTGAACGTCCATTGAATTATAATAACCATAAAAAGCTTTAACGTATGCTCTAAATTAAAAAAAAAATGTCTCGCAAATATCATATAAACAAATACCAACTAAGCTCTGTTTACACCCTATAAAGAATCAGAAAGTCGTTTTCTTGTTTGACCCAATCTGAACTAGAATCCGAGCTTAGAGATGGCAACATATAAACTCTCTTCTAACGTAGCTTGTAGAAATCTTTGAATAATTATTACCCAAACATGATTGTTAAATAATTTATATCATGCGTTAAGTTTGCTCAACCCAAAAAGGATAAGAATCACGTGTAATAAAATTAATTGGTAACTTTAATTAAATTCCAAGAAGCCTCCTTATTTGATATTTCGTAAAGAGTCGTCTTCAAAATGTTTTAAAAAAAATATGAAAGTGGTTCTTCTAATTACGTACGAACCAGTGGTGTTATGTAAAATTATAATCAACTTTAGACGCGGTTAACAGTCGGGCCATTTGTCATAGTCTCTTTTTATTTGTTAATTTATTTTTTTACTATAAGACATGGTCGAATGTAGATGCCACCGTCGTATGTTTTGACGCAATTTCTAAAAGATTCCGGTTGCGTAAATTGTTTGGATGTTGTTTTACAATTGTTAAATTGATCTCTATTCTGTATTTGGACCGGGTTACTTTCTTTATAAGTGGATTTATTTACTGACATTAGGATGGCACCACACTGAGACAAATTACTTCTGTTAAAGATACTTACATCATGATCGCAGCAAAATATTAGTAATTTAATAAAATCTACTTTTGGACATGTACAAATTACATGATAAACATTTAAATTGATAATAAAATTAGGTACTTGTCATCTTTATTTGAATGCAAGTTTATTAAAAATTGCCATTTAGCTGAAAAGTAAGAAACAGACAGACATTTTATACTTACACATTGCACTCTGAAATAACAGAGTATACAGTAACTTATATATATCATTATAGTAATTTATGTAAGCTTAGAAATTTAATAAAAAATTAAGAAAATCTAGTAAGAAACATCAGCCACCTGAATTGAATCTGTGTATACTCTGATTTTGGTGGTTTATTTAATTCCTTAATTTCCTTTTATCATTACACGATTAAACTATGTACCTAATATATTCTTACGAGTAGGTATTATAGGTTATTTGGCAAAAAATCAGTTACATAATTGAACTAAGTTTATTGTTAAAGTAATTGATAATGTTCATCGAAACGACCCCGATGTGTTGACACCTTTATATTAAAAGCTTATGCATTTCATTATATTTGGTGTCCCTGCCTCGGGCGTGATGGCAACAATGTAATTTTGTTATTATTGGCGTCAAGATGATGGTGTATTGATCAATAATGATAATGTAGGCACCTACACTATCACACTCACGGTTAATATTAAAGAAAGATCATGAGCCGCGTAGGTAGATCGAAGTATATAATATCACTTGTTTTTGCCTATGATTTCATCGATCTGATATGTGATATGTGATCTCTGAGGTCCCAAGCATGATATAATTATAATAAGCAATGTAGAAAATTACATTTTCCATATCGTGTCGGGGTTTGGATGTTGTGTTACTTGCGTTATTTCATATTCCCAGAGATAACACAATTGCTTTAACTATTTAACTTAGGATCTGAGAATTAACGCTTGTTAAAACGTAAGTCCTGGATTTGATAGCTGGTCGAGGCAATAGGAAAACGGATTTCAATATCCACAAGCCCGGGTCTACGATTTTTTCTAACCGTAGGAGAAACTATATAATGCGCCCTTCAACAAACCCTAAGGAGGCCGGGTCTTTTATTTCCACACTTTTCAGAGTATATTTTTTTCTTTTATGGACTGAAAACAGATCAGTCCCAACGTAGCCGTGTGTATGAAATTTTCAATTTTTTTTGAAGCTCGTTATTTAACCTATTTTCTGATTTGGGACAAGTGTCCCCCTAGACGCGGCCTGATTATCCAAGACCTTTTATGTATATGATGTTGTCTAATATTGGCTCAATCATACGGTTTAAATAATAAAATGAGAATTTAGTACCAACTACGTGGTCACAAATGCCGCTGAGACCGATTCTTGTACGAGTGAAGCTTGGGGTATACTATGACCACCTCATTTTGCTCAACCACATCTCAAACTATACTCGCTAACTATAGCGAGCATCCAGCATTTATATTTATACCATGTGTTGTTCCCAGGTTTCATCCCCGTGGCCTGCTACTGCACAGCTGGCACAACTGACGGCGAGTGCTCGTTCCCCTCCTCCTCCCGACCCGGACGCCCCCCTCAACCTGAGCAAGCAGCGGTCACCGTCGCCCGCGCAACCATCCATGATGCTGCCCAGATTCGTGCCATACCCACCTATTGACGAGAGTCCTCAGTACAGCATCGCTAAAGAGGACGAATACAATGCTTCTGTTAATGGTGAGTTGTTTAAAATATCAAAAATAGAATCACCAAATGTAATCGCAAAGCTCTCGAGAAAACGTTATATCTTTTCAAAGTCCGAAGAAGGTTTTATGCATGGCAAGAATAAAATGGAAACGTAGAAAAAAAAAGAAAAAACTTTTAAAGCTGGTGACTTGTAAAATGACTAGGAGGACAAGCTGGATAAATTAGCTAATCTGGTTAGTTGCTTCTTACTGAGGCGTCATTCTAGATCTTTATATATTATACAGCACTAAAATATTTTCACAAAGACATTATACAAAGTATTGGAAGTGCAAAATAAACTAGCAGACAATCACTGAATGCATAAAAGATCTTGATAGAAGAATAATACTCGTATTTTAGACATTAGTTAAAACCGATTTAAAAATGGAGAAAGCTTTGATTTATATGAATAAAAGAAATCTCTATAAACACATCGTCACCAAACTCCTCGGACGGAGACATTCAAGCATAATTCAAAAAGATCAACTGCTTCACTTTTAAAAATAATATATTGGAATTCTGTAACGTTTAACAATTATTCTCTTATGAGTCAGTTATGAAACGTAAAGAATTATAAAGTGAATTTTGATCCTACGCAAATCTAAATCTAGATGAATCACAATGATGACGTCACAAAACGCAACGCGCGCGCAAGTCCCAAAATTAGTTATCGGTTTAATTGAGACGATCGTAACACTCACTAGAGACGAGACCAACAAAACGGACACGGACGCAATTGACTGATATATATCTGTCACTCTCAACCTTTGATCGTGTCAGACAGATATATGTATATTACTAACTATAATAGAAACCAACTATGTTTCTCGTCTCTGCATATTAATTATCATCATACTAGTATTTGTATTATCATCACAATATTTTTTATAAGTACCCACTTAATAAATCATTAACAGATATACCTACTGTATTTTCGAAATATTAACAAACGGGATTAATATGTATATGCTACATTCTAAATTATATATCTGATACGTCAATTATAATTTACGTAACACTTTAAATTAAGTGATATTAATTGGCAAAGTAGCGTATTTGTGACGTACAAAATATATTCTCATTAGACGCAAAGGTTGAGAAATCAATTCTTAATGTAAAATCGTCGGTATTCTAGTCGCATTACAAAATATCATAAACTAAAATAAACAAGGAATCTCTGGATAAATGAAAATTATGTCATGATACGCTGAAATCGAGAAACGCGCCGTGTCGCCGCCAAACATTTTGATGTTTCGTATTTAATTGCTAAATATAATTAATATGTTCAGTACTAAAATTGTTATACTCCAATAAATCCTGTGTTGATATAGGGCGTACAGTTTTGGTAAAATAAATCATTAAATTCATGTTATGTTTCCTTTATTGTGATATAATTCTTTTCTATCAACTCTACTATTATATTAACAAACGGGATACTTTTTCAAGCGCCCAACATAAAACTTGTTTATTTTTTAATGAAACCTCATTTTAAGCAGTTTATAATACTCTCAATGTATTTTTAGGGACAGGTTTTAGAACTCATTGCTTTAATTCGCACTAATTAAAGGGAGAGTGTAGGATATTTTTTATTAGAAAAAAAAAACAAAAACTGATGTTAAAAAAAAACTTCAATTTAATGTACGTTTAATAGTATATATGTCATTTTAAGTATTATTTTTTTTAATAAAATATTTATAGTCTCCTTAGTGAGTGCTTTATAAAAATATTAATCATATGTAAAACTTTTTTAAAATGTGTATAAAATATATGGTATATTTCGTAAATGTTATGGTTATATTAAAGTTTATTCAAAAAAGGCAAGTGAAGTAAAAGCCCGCCTTAAGTTTTATGTTAAAGAGTTATGCCATATGAAATTGAGAGATGAGCAGATGTGATGCAAGTTCACCTACGTTAAGAAATTAATCACCGCCAGATACAATCTCAGGTGATACTGTAAATCGTAACAGTTTTTTTTTTGATCTTGGATTTATTTTCATTGCTTCACTCTCGCGTTGATTATATTTGTTTATGTTTCCTTAATGGGTCAACTTTTATTAATGGGAATTCTCGAAATTGCCGGCCGCATTGTTACTTTTTGGAAGATAGATTAGATTTTATTTTTTAAAACGAATTTTAAGGTAAATGGCTTGATGGGAATTTTAAGCAGTTCTCGTATTTTGATCGTTGTTAAAATATATTGTGATGGCTGTCGTATTGTTTTCTTATGTTTTATAGTTTTTTTTTTAGAAAAAGTACACACTAAGTTGTAGAAGCCAACTGTATTTAATTACGCAAAATTGATTGGATCGATATCATCAAAGACATTAGTTTTTCGAATCCTTAATGTCAAAGTTTGAGTTGTCTTAAAAATTAATTAATATCCACTGTTATACATATTTATGGGCAAACAAGAAGCCATCGAATAGTTGGCGTGTTCCCAAACCGAAATGGTTACAAAATCGCGATGTCGTTTCGTTTCCTTTAAAACAAGAGGACTTGGAGATGCGAAATAGATGGCGTTCAAGACGCAAACTTCCGCTCAGTGTCGGTAATAACGCGGGCACAAGTGACGTCAATTATTTTTCCAGAATATCCGATGAAATCGTTATTCAAGCAAGAAATGTACCGATTAAGATTCGTCAATGCTACCAATTTCCAAACAATTTAGTGGTTGTGTATTACTTATAAATTAATTTTACTTCCTTAATGATTTATATCTTCATAACTTGACTGATATATTTTTATTAGTTAAATAGGTAGTTACAATCATATTTTAAGCATTCTATTCGCAAGAAAAATGTGTTTTTATTCATACTATTTGACAATAGGCAAATTAATCCAACCAAATTTTTGTCAAATATATTGATTAAACATTGCAGTTAATGGACAAACATGCAAACACGGAAACAAATAGCATAAGCTTCTTGTAAATAACCAAATGAAGTGCCACTATCATAAACGTTGAGGAGGACAAAGATCCTATAGACCAAACAGTACATTATTTCGATTTCGACGATGCATATTTAAAATCTATAATTATGTAGTAGTTATTAGGTGTAAGTGTACCCGTACCTTGGATAGTCTGAAAACTACTGATATGCCAAATATAATTTAATTTAGTATTGGTTGCTGTCAATTGACATACTTTTATTGAAATACTTAATCATTATCATCATCATCATCATCATCATCATGTCAGCCGAGAGACGCCCACTGCTGGGCATAGGCATAATATGATAGAAATACATAATACAAATAAATAAATTATCTACCAATATTTTTTTATCAGAATTAATTCAAAAATGAATCAGAATTAATTTTATTTTGAAAAAGAATGAATAAATATAATTTAATACATGTGATTGTTAGATAATATCAACATAATAGTAGCTATATTGTTACCTATGCCTAGAGAAAATGAAAATTTGTTCGCGACAGTACATTTTGAACGTGTGACTTGGTATCACCGCATGGGATGTTATAAATTATCTAACAGCGTCTCAAATTAATTCGCGGAATGCGCGGCTTTGAGTGGTGGATGTTTCCGTACGTTTATTAATCGCGCGGGCACTTGTTGGTGGATCCGTCAAGCCAAATGTTAGCGGACACTCAACTGACTGACCCACATACATATTTTCCCGCCTTTTAGTGTTGCGCCTCTAGATCGTTTATCTGTGTGTATGCCACCATAAATTGCAGTCCTTTTCGGCGAGATTTAAAATATCGATAGCAATTAGCGGCTCTTTCTTAAGTTTCATTCGAATGTAGCGTCCTTTCGCTGGGCGGTTTGATTTTGAAAACTATAATAAAGTTAACTTGATTAATTTGTATAAATACATTTACCTGTCTAATTGATTAAAAAATCAGTTATTATATTATTTTTATTCTGAATCCTACATTTTAGCCGTGTTTTATGTTAATTCAATTTTGTTATTATTAATGGAATTTCCTAATTAACATGTTCCGCTGTTATCTGAAACATACTTATAAATGTGTAATGTGGCCAGAAAGTTTTTATTAAGAACAAGTTGAGAGATGTTAAATCGGACAATGGCGCTAGTTTTTCGGACACACTATCCGTTAAATCACATCACTATACCAACACTTATTTCGTGAAGCACATTAAATAATGTATTGCGTAATATTTATGCCATTTGATTGGTGTAAACGCGTTGTAATGTCTCCTCAGCTATTTACAGGACGCACTAACGTATGATTTAATTTCACTTTATTATTATAACGACACTATTATAGCAGATAAATGTGCTCGACTACTGAGAGCCTCATTCCTTGGATAGTGTGTTGACCTAAAAACAACTGGTATTCAACGTTACTTACCTATATTAAATCATTGAGTTAATTCGATTATATTTGGCGCATTGTAAAGTCTCCATTCGCAATATTTGACATGCGTCTAATCAGCCTCCGTAAGTATGTTTGTGTCCGTAGAACTGATAAGTACTTACCTAGCTGATGATTAGTCGATGAATGATATTGGATACATGATATTAGTATATTCAATTTAGTTACCAGTTTTATGACATTAACATTAACTAACTCGAATTACCAATATTTCAATATGTCTCCGATTTTGTGGTCTCGAGTTTGATTCTCGGTGAAGAATACTAGTTTTTTTACTATTGTCTCCATAAAACAAGGAATTTAACTATTTCAACTACTATTGTGATGTTGTCCAATACGTTACTTACTTGTCCGGTACGCATTCATTGTTTTTATGGCTATTACCCGGCTTACGTAAGTATTAGATATACGTTGCGATCAATCTATAAACTTCAAAACTACTTATCACAATATTACATGTCATATTAAGAAACAGAAGTTATTCAAATACAGAAATTCCAAAGATTTTACGATATTTTTTTATGTATAATCTGTTCTTATAACAAGCTCGTAGTAAAAATAGCAGCCGCTCTATAAATAGTTCATATAATCCTTGAGTAACAGCTGGATTTAGAATACTCGTATAAAGAAAAAGTAAGCCCGGCTATGGAAAATAATACTCTGAATGACTACTTAATATAAATAGGTTATGTACCGTTACATAACGTAAGTACTAGACCGGACTCGAACTGAGACGTCCCGGAGCTAATTTATAATAATTTTATAAATTGTTTGTTTTGCTCTTGAAACATACAAACAAAAACTTTATACAGCAATCATCGTAATCATCAAGAGTCGTGCGACGCTCTACGATATGGATGTTAAGTAACTTTGGCAAGGGCCTGTCATAGGATGGGTGACCAAAAATTTTACTTTGGTAGGCACGTCACAAGCCGTTGATCCCGGCTGCATCTGCAGTCGTCAACAACCACCGCTCCACCGTGGATTCCATCCTTAGAAAGGCCTGTGGTCCAGCAGTGGTGACATTATAAAGGCTGATGATGACATTTCGTATAAGTATTAATAGTCGATGGGCAATGAGAATACTGTGCACTAGTTTGAACTAGTTCAAACTTAAACGAAAGCTACAAAAGGTAATCCAGTTTAACGATTGTTTTACTACCGGAATTCTGTAAAAATAATTTACAATCGGCTTAGACAAGATTATACGAGAGATTACGATGTATTTAAACGTTAACTATTTTTATTATTATTTGGAGTACTTAATGTAAGAATTACCTACTTTAAAACGTATGTCTGTTCACAGTTGCATTTCAATATCGTACGTTTACTTAAAATAATAAATTCACAAATTGAGTCACAAAATGTTCAATTACCGGGCAAGATACCTCGGCTGGCCGGGTAACCTCCGGGAGGCCATCGCAGATGTGTAGGCGCTGGGAGCGTTACTGGCAGAGCTGGCCTGGCTGGAATAACACGAAAAACGGGCGGAATTCGGCGAGTGGCGGCCCGTCGAAAGATGAAGAAGAACAAAGATGTTCAATTATGATGAAATATCTTTTAGATAAAACTTGTACGAAAGTCGAAACCGTAATTCGTTTTAACGCACGTCGTTTAGGTACCTGTAGTTGAAAGTGCATAACTGCATTAATAACGGCTCGCGTTTCCAGTCTGCTAGTGCGAGTGTTTAAACAGATGGATGTATGTCATATATTTTTTTGCGATTTCAGACTTGCGTTTAATCGCTGTGCGATCTGAGCCAATTTAGTTACCTAAACGTAACTTGATGGTAAAGATTTAATAAAAGTATTTCTAATTTTTTTTTCATTGTTCAATTTGTTCCTTTCAGCTTCATGGACTCAATCTCCGCAAGAAGAAGTGGATAAAGCTAAATTGGTGCGTCAGCCACGCCGCGACGATGCTGGGAAACCACACATCAAGAGACCAATGAACGCTTTCATGGTGTGGGCTAAAGACGAACGCAGGAAGATCTTGAAGGCCTGTCCGGACATGCACAACTCCAACATATCCAAGATCTTGGGCGCCAGGTGGAAGGCCATGTCGAACGCCGAGAAGCAACCTTATTACGAGGAGCAATCGAGGCTGTCCAAACTGCACATGGAGAAACACCCTGATTACAGGTAGGACTGATAACATATAGTACCAAATTCATAACTAAGATCGCGGAGATGGTAACTATGATGAAGAGCATAGAACATAATTAAAATATTATACTTTCCAGATACCGACCGCGACCAAAGAGGACTTGCATAGTAGACGGCAAGAAGATGCGTATATCAGAATACAAGAACCTGATGCGCTCACGCAGACAGGAGATGAGGCAGCTCTGGTGCCGGGATGGGGGCAGCGAGCTTGGTTTCCTACCCACACTGCCCTCTCCGGGCCCATCTAACTCATCCCCTCCACCTAACGGAGGCAGCTACATGAACCCTTCGTTCTCACCGCCACTGTCGCCGCGTGAGGACGATTGAGGGTCGGCGCGCGGCTGGCCGTACCCGCACGCCGCGCCCCTGTCTCTCCCCCCCTCACACCATCCTTGGTAAGCTCTAGATGCTTCTAAAACGTCTACTCGCTCCTACACACTATATCGATTTGCCCAAGCTCCAGATGTTGCAACATTCTGGTCAAATACATTAAAACGAATACCCGTCACTATTATATCAGAAATTTCTATGTATTTTTCTCAGTGACGATTTCGTATTATAAACAATATGTACTCAAAGTAAATCCTATGTACACTCATATCAAGAAGGATGTCATACTTTTTGTCATTAGAATGTTAAGATTTTTGTGTATACTGTTGCTGAGTGATCATAGATGACGGAGCACGTTTAATAATGTATTTTATAATTATTGTGCCAGTGTCTAAATTGGATCTCTCATTTATGATACCAACATTTTGTATTATGAGATTATTCCATTAGTGATAATTTAAGGAAATCTTAAGTATGGACAACTGTATCATCTATAATATCGTAGTATTGTTAAGGCGTAACTATGCGCCACTTTTAGTGAAATTGCTATGTACATTTTAAAAGTAATAACTACCGTGAAGCGAAAGCTTTATTACGTTATGTTTGTTTATATTATTATTGATAATAACCCTTTTTTGCACTTAAAATAATACACAGTTAACAGGAACCAATATTACTTAAGAGATCAAATAAAAGGTAAATTAATATTTTTCAACAGTGAATAGCTTTACACCCTGGTGAAAGGAAAATTAATAATTACTTTTTGATATATCACAGTTCGAAATGCGAACTATCACATCACAAAATACTTTTTTAATGCATAAATAAAAAACTAGTACAGAGGAATAGTATGGAGTATATGTGAGTTTATAACTTCCTATCTATTAAATTTTATTATAACTGTCAATATCTGCACTCGACTGTACACAAGTCGCAAATCTGTTTTATTTTTTCTTTTTTTGGTGTCTCTTTAAAATTGTACCATTTGGCATTTTTCTGAAGTGCATATTTATCATATTAAACCAATAAATAATAAAAAAAAACATGTAAATAGCTATCTATTGGAATATTTAAACTAGTTCACCCAATAAGGACTTAAGAACTCTGTTAATAAGTACAATTCCCTTTGTAGATAGATTTGAGCGTCATTTCTTTTGGCTAAACATTTATAGATATACTTAGATTTAGAGTAAGCTAAAGGTACTATGATTATTATGTGTGGCCATGTATAAATATTAGCTCGAGATTAAACTGATTGATGTAATAACTTAGATGTTGTGGTAGGTACTAAGCAATTAATATGTATCAAACCAAAAATTTGAAGCGGAAGGCTTGAAAATTTTTTTTTTTTTTTATATTAATGAATAAATGTGTTTTGAACACAATTATAGGAATCCAGTGAGATCTGATTATGCATAATGATTTTAAATAAATAAAAATAAAATACTCATAGTTATAAATGGACGTCTTTGAAGTAATTAGAAGCAATTTAAAATTAATAATTGCTTATAATAATACCTGGTGAAGTACATACTTTGATTTGATATAGGACACATATCAATATTTTTTTTATCTTATTGTGATTTCGTTGACAAAAGTTATGACGTGCAGAAAAAAAAATGTATTCTGTGAATTTCTACACATTTCTGTATTCATAACTATCAAAGTTGTATTCAATGGAAGTTAATTTTTTTATAATATATTTCGTAGCGATTCTGGATTGTTTATGTTGTTTTTTCTAAGTGGTTACTTATACCGTGAAATGCAAAATATATTTACAAATTTATTAATAGGTAAGGTCCGCCATTTCTAGGCTTGAGACCTAGATTTTTTTAACAATTTAAGGGTATATATTTTTCAGTCTATGGTTTTACCATATTATCCTTTCACGTGATATTTATTAAGATCCGATTGATTTTAAACCTTAATAGATTGTCAGGAAGGTTCGCTTATTTGTTTCTATATATATATATATATATATATATATATATATATATATGTTGAAAAAGTAGAACCTATTTTAGTATGTATTTATTTTTGATGATTGTAATGATTAACTTATGCGTTTCCAGGATCGTTACTTATTCAGACAAAATGTTTTTACATTAGATATTGTAAAATTATGGTCAATTCAAATAATGTCAATTTTATGTAAAGACATTATTAGTTGATGAAAACCCACCGACTTGTGGGTTTAATCAAAGCGACACAGATGAATCAAGTTGGCGGCAAACTATAACTATTATTTTCACTGGCAACATTTTGGTTATTCAAAGAGACACTAGCGCCACCGCTCGCTGACTGCACATTTTACATTTGTCGCTTTATTATGGCACTTAAATTAATTCGCTTTATAAAATCGTGCAATTTATATAAGTAGATTCTATAGATTTAAGGTGTAGTATATACATAATTATCTACTAATAATAATAGTAAACATATATAGTTGTAAAATCCATTAGTTTGAAGTCGATTGCCATTTTTTTTTTTCATTTTGTTATTTATTTTTCTAATTATAATTTGTTTCTCATTTTGCGTTTCTCGTTTTTAAGATGTATGCCAGTAATACATGAAGCTTAGCGTTTAATGTTATAGTATATGAATAAATAATTAATGTGTATGTGAAACAATTATTAAATGTCATTAAGTAGCGAGTATTTCTTAGTAAATGTGTAAGAAATTATTTATTTTATATGTTGAATTCCTTGTAAATAGGCCGATGTTTTGATGTAAGCGTTAGTTGTGGTTATTTGATGATCTATTTACATGACAGAACATTTCTTTTTAATTTTAGATCTCGATCGATAATTTTCATTTTTTTTTTTTATTAAATGCTGTTAAATTATTTAAGTTTGATATTCATTGATTTATTCAACTTGCCATAGCTTGCTGGATTTAAGTACTTAGAAAAATTACTACTTATCAAAATGTACTTAAAATAAATGAAATTGTTATTGTTTTTTTTTGGGTCATAATACCGGTTAGAGACGGTATAACTGTATCAATACTTTAGCATTCAAAACCCCCGAAATGTGTAAGTAGATAGATTTAGGTTTTTAATACCTAGTGTAAACCAGGTCACATCATTTAAAAATTGTGCCAAAACCCAAAAGTATATTAAATACGTATGAAAAAATATATTGTTCTTTTTTTAATTACGACAACCTTTGCTTCCCCTTAATATTCACATGCAAAAATAAATTAAAATTTTTTTTTTTACTTGTTTTGGCTGGATAGTGGTTTAAACCTGGTACTAAAGTTGGTCCCCGTTTTAAAATGAGACGGATTATGTGTTGCAATGAGTAGGTATCTATGGAAGTGACAAAAAGACTTGTACAATAAATAATAAAAGGATTAGACCCATGTCTAGAAGTACGCGTGTATTTAGAGTGTTTCGTTACACATTACTCTTGGTAAGGACTAGTGTTCCATACAAACAAAACGTTACCAGAAATCGACTATAAATAGCAGCAAATTCCTCATTTTTAGAAAATTTCTATGATTCTGATTGAATTCGATAAATAATGAACCCTAAGAATCGAAAATGGTCAACACCAACTCACCCATATGACCCATGTATCAATGAGATACCATTAAAAAAGAGCTATTCCATTCGACGTGCGTCAATTCATGACCAATGATATCAAAATAAATATTAGAGTGTATTTTTTATCTGCTTTCTTTTAATATTCATTTGAAATAAAAATCTTTGATTTTAGATTAAAGCATATATTTTTATTGTATAAAAGACAATACATACGTACGATATCTGTCATCAGACCCAATTACGTAACATATCTAATGATGGTCTTATAAGTGTTTTAAGTCTCAAGGTATCAAAGATCTCTCGCACTGAATATGTTTTCATTGAAACTGACTTGAACATGTCAAGAGTTTTCTTAATGAAATTTTCCACTAAGAATATTTTTCGGTATAGCATTGTGAATGTAAAATCAAATATAATAATGGTCTCAGTTATTAATTTATTTAACTATGAACCAGGTTTGGCGTCGGAGTAAATGGAGTTTTACATCGAGTAATGCGCGAGTAATATTTTGTTAGGTATAAGGTTAGCTTACGACCGGTTTCTGAATTGAGAAAAGTACAAAATCTCGACTGATCATTCTCAATAACTTAAGTTTATTTACTTTTCACAAGGCAAAAACTCCTAGTTTTTAACAAAACACTATCAATTGATTATTAAAAAATAAAACCAAAAATCGGAACACGTAACAAAAACTTGTTCAAGCGTCGTTTAATTACGGTTTAAGACGCGCTTAACTTTAAACACTCAATTCAGAAACCGGATCTTAGTTTCTGTTTAATTTTCATTAACACTTGGTGCAATCTAAGCGTATATACGTAACATAATATTTAAGTTCACGCTGGCCGACAGTACCTCAATTGAAATTGACAGTAAAACAATTGGCTTCGATTTTAAATGCATTCAATACAATATGGTATATATGCATTAAGCTCAATTTGTAAATAATAAATTTTAATATAGCGAATATATCGATAGAGTATTAAATCCATCAACTATATATATATAAGTTTCATAGTTCAGTGCGTTCTTTTATTTGGTACCTTAAACAGCATGCATTGGCATGGTAAATACAAGTCGCATTACCTATATACCCTATTGGAGACAAGTAGCTCCAATAGGGTATATAGGTAATGTGACTTGGGTTGACATAGATTTCTTGAAGGTACGATACACACTTATTGATTTCAGATTGATCTGTCAAAATGAAGTCCTGAATGATCTGATGATAAATGAAAAAAAAACAGATATTACAAGGGCTATGACGTGTAATATTATAAATAATCTGGAGTTAAAAATCACACGAAATTCTAGTAATTCGTGGATAGTTAACTAACTATAAAACTAAGATATTTGGTAACTTCCGCCTGAAGCTTATCCTTACGAGACCTGTGTGATTTGCATAAGAGAAAATGGCGGGTGCCTGCGAGTTTCCATAGATATCTAATGCGTTTAACAGTAGGTATACAATTTGGTATAGTACAAGTATGTAAAGATATACGTGATATGACGAACGTATAATAATTAACGTATAATTTGGGTACATTGTTATTGCATTTACAAAAATATCAATTTTACAATATACGATATATACAACAGTATACACTAGTCTACATAAATAGCGTTTTTTTTTCTTTATATAACATATCTGCCAGGAGCCTAATTGTCTAACTTTAAAATATATATTAATACCTTTCAATTTCACACGTTGGAAGGATATTGACGATCTTCATATTACAAGCATTTGCCATGTGTTAGCGTTTGCAAAGTATTTAAGAAATGTCAACCGAAAAGAGTTCAGTAACTGCACTCTTGCGACGGTAGTGACTAAGTGTTCATTTTTTTTTAATTGATAATTCAAATCGTCATTCGCCTTCGGTATTTATAGATTGTGACTTAAAAAGTAAGTTAATTCATTCCATAAAACGCGCCACACCTTTGAAAGGCATTAAGATAGATTTTGAGATTAGATAATTTGGCTACTGGTTCATTTGAGACCTAACTACACAAGTATTATAAGAAGCAAAACAAAAAAAAAACAAACCAAAGTTGCACAAACCATTTCCATCCATTAAAATTTACATTAATTTAATGCCACATTACCGACACAAATATGGGTTGACGAATTATGAATCCAAACAAATTGATATATGAAATGTTATTTCTGATACGAACGATACTAGTGTAATAGTTTAATCAGAAACCCAGTTCGTCCACTCTACTCTCGATTAAATAAATACATTGTTCAATATAAACACAAACTTTATTTAGGATTAGAGATGGGCGGTGAGAAAAAGCCCGGAATTTTTTCCCATTTAGGAAAAAACATGGGCTTCTCCGGTTTTTTTTTAGATAGTTTAAAAGGTAGATTTAAAACGTCTCGTTACACACATCTCGTTTTTAAACAATCCGTTGGGTTCATGTCGAAAAGTGATCGGTTCCCATAATTTAATTTAATTTTCCGGATCTCCATCCGGTAA